CGGGTTAGGGTCAAGGGTCGGGTGAGGGTGTCGGGGGTTTAGGGTTGGGGTGAGGGTCAGGGGTTTAGGGTTTAGGGGTCGGGTTAAGGGGTAGGGGTTGGGGGTTAGGGGGTTAAAGGTTAAGGGGTTAGGGTTTAGGGTCGGGGGTTGGGGTTAGGGGGTGAGGGTGAGGGGTAGGGTTTAGGGGTTGGGGTTAAGGGTAGGGGTTAAGGGGTTGGGGTTTGGGGTAGGGTTTAGGGTTGGGGTTAGGGGTTAGGGTTTAGGGTTAGGTTAGGGGTAGGGTTGGGTTAGGGTTTAGGATTGGGGTCGGGGGTTAGGGGTTGGTTAGGGTCGGGGGTAGGGGTAGGGTTTAGGGGTGGGGTAGGGGTTAGGGTGGGGGTGAGGGTGAGGTTAGGGTTAAGGTGGTTTAGGGTAGGTTAGGGTTGGGGTTAGGGTAGGGTTAGGGGGTAGGGTCAGGGTGAGGGGGTAGGGTCAGGGTTAGGGGGTGAGGGGTTGGGGTGAGGGGTAGGGTTTTAGGGTTGGGGTTAGGTTTAGGGGTTAGGGTGAGGGCGAGGGGTTGGGGTTAGGGTTTTAGGGGGTTAGGGTTAAGGGGTTAGGTTAGGGTTTGGGTCTGGGTGAGGGTTAGGGGTTAGGCTTAGGCGTTAGGGTGGGTTTAGGGTTAGGGTGTTAGGGGGTCAGGGTCAAGGGTTAGGGTCAAGGGTTTAGGGGTAGGGTTAGGTTCGGGTTAGGGTCAAGGGTCGGGTGAGGGTGTCGGGGGTTTAGGGTTGGGGTTAGGGTTAGGGGGTTAGGTTTAGGGTGAGGGGGTGAGGGTTAGGGTTGGGTTTAGGGTTAGGGTCAGGGTGAGGGGTTGGGGTAGGGGTTAAGGGTGAGGGTGGGGGTTTAGGGGTAGGGTCAGGGTGAGGGTCAAGGGCTCGGGGTTAGGGTGTAGGGGTTAAGGGGTGAGGGGTAGGGTTAAGGGTGAGGTTAGAGGGGTAGGGTTAAGGGTGAGGTTAGGGGGTTAGGTTAGGGTTGGGGTTTGGGGTTAGGTTAGGGTTGGGGTTTGGGGTTAGGGTTGGGGGGAGGGGGGAGGGGTTAGGGTAAGGTTTAGGGTGGGGGTGAGGGTGTGGTTGGGGGTTGGGTTTAGGGGTTAGGGGTTAAGGATTAGCGTCAGGGATAGGGTTAGGATGGGTGAGGGTCGGGAGGGGGAGGGTTAGGGGGTAGGGTTTAGGGTCAGGGGTCAGGGTCTGGTCAGGGTTTAGGGGTTAGGGTTAAGCGGTTAGGGTTAGGGGTAGAGGTAGGGTTGGGGTTAGGGTGTAGGGTCTGGGGTTGGGGTTAGGGGTAGGGGTGAGGGTTAGGGGTTAGGGGTAGGGTTTAGGGGTGAGGGTCAGGGGTCGGGTCAGGGTCTAGGGGTTGGGGGTAGGGGTAGGGTTGGGGTTAGGGGTAGGGTGAGGGTTAGGGGGTAGGGGTAGGGTTTAGGGTTGGGGTTAGGGGTGAGGGGTTAGGGTTTAGGGTTAGAGGGTGAGGGTTGTTAGGGTTGTGAGGGTGCGGGTCGGGGGTCAGGATCAGGGGTCAGGCTAGGGGTAGGGGTAGGGTTGGGGTTGGGGTTAGGGGGTAGGGGTCAGGGGTTTAGGGTTAGGGGTTAAGGGTTAGGGTTAGGGCTAAGGGGTAGGGGTAGGGTCAGGGGTAGGGTCGGGGTTTAGGGTCAGGTTTAGGGTTAGGGGTCAGGGTCAGGTTAGGGTTTAGGGTTAGGGTTTAGGGTTAGGTTAGGGTTAGGGTAGTTTAGGGTTAGGGTCAGGGTTAGGGGTTTAGGGTTAGGGGGTTAGGGTCAGGGTTAGGGGTTTAGGGTTAGGGGTTTAGGGTTAGGGTTTAGGGGTTGGGTTTGGGTTGGGGGTTAGGGGTAGGGTTAGGGGTGAGGGTGAGGGTTTAGGTTTAGGGTCAGGGTCAGGTTTTAGGGGTTAGGGTTAGAGTTAGGGGTTAGGGTTTAGGGGTCAGGTTAGGGTCAGGGTTAGGGTTAGGGGTTTAGGGTCGGGGTTAGGGTCAGGGTTAGGTCAGGGTCAGGGGTTGGGTTAGGGGGAGGGTCAGGGTTAGGGTTGGGTTAGGGTTGGGGTTAGGGTTAGGGTTAGGTTGGGGGTAGGGTTAGGGCCAGGGCCAGGGTTAGTGTTAGGGTTAGGGGTTAGGGTCAGGGTGAGGGGGTTAGGGGGTTAGGGTTAAGGGGTCAGGGTCAGGGGGTGAGGGGGTTAGGGTTAGGGTAGGGTTAGGTTAGGTTTAGGGTTGGGGTTAGGCGTAGGGTCGGGGTTAAGGGGTTGGGGTTAGGGGTTAGGGTTTAGGGTCAGGGTTAGGGGTGAGGGTGAGGGTAGGGTTTAGGGTTTAGGGTAGGGGTTAGGGTTTAGGGTTGGGGTCGGGGTGAGGGTTAAGGGTTAAGGGTTAAGGTCAGGGCTTAGGGTTTAGGGTTAGGGGTTAGGGGGAGGGGGAGGTTAGGGGTAGGGGTTAGGGGTAGGGTTAGGGGTTAGGGGTTAGGGTTTAGGGTCAGGGTTAGGGGTGAGGGTGAGGGTAGGGTTTAGGGTTTAGGGTAGGGGTTAGGGTTTA